AAAAGGAGACAGCTCCAAAATTCAGGGACCAGAAAGATTGTTGGCTGGGAAGGGAGGCATCAACGGAAGAGGTAATGATTTGCACGTTTCATCGTATTCGAATATTGGGAATAAGAACTGTTTACAATCTTACTTTGGATGTAAAATGCTTCCGGGCAGTCTGGGCAGGGTGATGGAAATTACCTCGCTTGAAATCTATGTGATTGTATTGAAGGAAGTAAATCAATGCTATGAGAGATCCAGATGCCAGTTTTCACAGCCCACGCCATCCACCAGGCCAAGAAGTTACACAGTTAGACACTACAGATACTAACTAAGATAGGGTAGCTCAAGCCTTGACATCAGCATCGGCATCTTCGATCTCTAGACGGGTGCCGTATACGGTGACACCCCGGCCAGCATCATGCCTCGTCTTCTCAAACTCCTCAAACTTGAGAGGAGCGCTGTTGGGATCCAGCACGAATTGCCGGTGCCAAGGTCCGACGAACAGTCCGTCGGGGTCAACCTCATCGCGGACCCGGCGCCACTGGACCATGTCATCACCGTACCACTCTGCAAACTCCTCGTTCTTGACGTTGAAGTTCTTGGCCCAGTGCGGCTTGCCACCGAGGTCACGCATCAGCCACTCGAAGCCCTGCATCCAGCGCTTCAGGCCGGGCGGGTCGAGGTCGTAGGGACGGTACATTGTCGCGTTGAGGTTGAGTGTGGGACCGTCCTTGACGGTGCTGTCGAGGAAGGGTCTGTTGCGCTGCTCAGCGCTGGTGTGGACGGTGGCGTCGCAGACGCGGACCTCGACGGGCGAGTGCACGTAGAGGCCCTCGGCAGAGAAGGGAATGCCGTGGTCGACGTAGTCGGGGTCGCCCGGCTTGAGCTTGTTGAGCCAGGATCCGAGACGCATCAGGGCCTCGGGCCCGCGGTGGAGTGGGATGGCCCACTCGTTGACGAATTGGCTGTAGAGGCAGTTCATCCACAGGGCCTTATCCATGGGCTGGATGGCTGATGAGGTGTAGCCATCTTTGAAGCCGTATTGCATGCCGAACACGAACCTGAAGGACGTCAATTAGTCCGTTGAGTCCGTCGACGACGTCGGATGAGGTGTATCAAGGGAGGGGGGCTTCAGCTTACCATTCAACCCAGGGCAGGATGCGAGGGATGTAACGCGATAGGTAAAGGAGGTTGTGGTATATGTGATAACCGAGAGCTCCATCGTAGTAGCCGACTGGCGGATCTCGGTTCTTCTCCTTTCCGGACTCGAGGTCTTCCTTTGTGACAATGTCTGCCTTCCAGACCACAGCCCTCCTGGTATAAGGCAGCCACCACACCCGGACAAAGTCGGACTGGGTCCACAGCTTGTTATCCTGCTTCCAAGCGTCGAGCATCTTGTAGTCGGCCTGGATCGTCTGCTGCCAATGCAAGCTGAAGGCCGGCACGGCGCGGAAGCTGACCTCGGTGATGATGCCGAGGGCGCCGAGCGACAGCGTGGCGCCGCGGAAGAGATCCGGGTTCTCATCCGGCGAGCATGAGACCGTCTCACCGTTGGCGAGGACGATCTTGAGGGAGGAAATGGCCTCGGAAAGCAGACCGTATTTCAGGGTGCTGCCGCGGGTTCCTGTGCTGATGACGCCGGCGATGCTCTGCTCGTTGACGCTACCCAGCACGGGGAATGAGAGGCCATGCTTATTCAGCTCCTCAGTGAGTTGCCACAGCCGGATGCCGGCTTGCATGACAACGAGACCAGTCTCCTCTGTCGGGCTGCGTTAGCATAGCTCTCATAAGATTACGCGGATGAGTGAATAAGTGAGTGAGATGTGATGTGAGGGTCTGTGCTTACTATCGACAGATAACACTTTCTTGAATCCATCGAGGTTGATCAGCCAGTTACTCGTGCACGTGAGGTCTGAAGGCGAGTGTGCATGGCCGACAGTGGTGATGCGCCGCCTGCACCGGCGCGCGAGCTTGACTGCCTTCTCGACCTCCTGCTGCGACTGAGGCTGGATGAAGAGCTCTGGCAGCGATGAAAAGGTGCGCGCCCAGGTGGTGTGGAAGTGAGCCGACTTGGCCCGGAACGGGATGCCATCGGCGGCGGCATCATCGATGATGCCGCGAATGTGAGGGTCCAGGGACGCAACGGCGGCCATTGTGAGTGTCGGAGCCTGCTCTCTTCGACGATGATAATTAACAACTATTACACCGGGCTCGGAAGAAGCAAAGTCGAACTAAAGATGACCCTGATGATAATCCAAGGTTGAGGGGCTTTTGTTAAGTGCCGTCCGCCTCTCTCGATGGCAAAGATTATGAGGGAAAACCCGAGAGTGAATTGAACAACGCACCCTGAAAGCCGAGTGTTTTGGAAATTTTGAGGCTAATGACGGTTTATATGACAAAACAAGTTTAGCGTCCGCAATGGAGCACACCGCATCTTCTGGGTTTCTGAACGTTCTGCTGTGCTTTCTGGTGCGACCGTACGACTGGCGCCAGGGATCGGGGGGATCTGTTTGTGGATGACGAGTCAAGGAGGGTGGCTTGAAACGGGAAGTCTCAGATGAACATGGATACTGGGGGTTCCGCCACACTTATGCCGGCCGGCGAGGCCCGGTAGGAGAAAAATTGCAGTTGGCAAGGATTCTTGCATTTGGGGGTCCTCCCATCCATGATCTCTCTTCTCTCTCTCTTTGCGGCTTTGCCCAACTTGTCGTTCTGCTGTCACTCTGGCACTGTTGTCTATCAAGTCGTGGCAAGTTGAGACGAGGTGACACGTGCAATCGGTCCAAATTCACTTGGCAGAATGGCTCGCGCCAAAGGGCTTGGCCCAAGATGGACCACGCATAAGCCCCACCACGCAACACAGCTTCGTAAGTATTGACGAGTTGATACTCTAATACCTTACCTATGTATCGGCACTGAGTCGAGTACCCTTTGAGCGTACGCGGCTTGAGCTTAGCCCTGGGAGAATCCGAGCTCACGGTTTCTGGGTACGCTAATAGAAGCGGACGGAGAAGAGCGGTCTCAAATGCCCACATATCAGTTATGGTTAATAACGAATTCTTCCTAGTCCAGGAGCCTGGCAAGCAGCGAGGCCCCCCATGCGGGCTTTTTAGACCAGACTTCTGGACCGATCCTGTTGTGACCCTCTCATATCAAGTAGCAAACACCTCACCGGCTCAGCCCTTTCTTCTCACTTCCCGTCTTAAGGCTAGACAGTTTCCTGACAAGTCCCTCTTCTTTCCCGCCCCTCTTCCCGAACTTTTTACGCCCTGAGCATATCGAACCATTCTCACTAGCTCTCATCTCATTCTCATATCACCTTTCCTCCAGGAGTCATGGCTACCACAACAAGCCTCAACCCGGCCTCCCGGCCTTCCATCGCCTCCGTCCTGCCACCTCTCTTCCTAGGCACAGCAACATTCAACACCCAGCATGTAAAGGACCCGCTGCAGATGCCGTACAGGCAAATCGTCTCAAGGGCACTAGAGCTCGGCGTCAACGGCTTCGACACATCGCCGTACTACGGCCCCTCAGAGGTCCTCCTCGGTGACGCCTTAGCCGCCCACACGGCAGCCACCAACATCCCCAGAGAGTCCTACGTGCTGGTCACAAAGGCAGGCCGCATCGCCGGCAACGAGTTTGATTACTCGCCGGCGTACGTGCGCTACTCTGTCCTCCGCTCCCTCAGCCGTCTCAACACGACGTACCTTGATCTCGTGTACATGCACGACGTCGAATTCGTCTCCCCCGCAGAAGTCCTTGCCGCCGTGCAGACGTTACGGCAACTTCGCGATGAGGGCAAGATCCGCTATGTCGGTATCAGTGGTTTCCCCGTCCACGTCCTCTGCAGTCTGGCTGAGATGATTCTCGCTGAGACGGGCGAGGCCCTAGATGCCATCCTGAGCTACGGGCACTTCACCATCCAGAACCCCACGCTCGGCCTTGCAGAGGTTGTCGCCGGGCCCGACCACACCGACGAGCAGAGCCCGCTGCGGAGATTCCGCAACGCCGGCGTTCAGGTCGTGTTGAACGCCAGCATGCTCGGCATGGGTCTCCTCACATCCACAGGCGTTCCCGGGCGGACGGAGACGGCGGAGGGCAAGGCCGGCGTTATCGCGTCATGGCACCCCGCACCGGATGACCTGCGCTCGGCGTGCAAGAAGCTCTCAACTATCGCGAGCGATGCCGGCGAGCGCCTGGAGACCGTTGCGCTTCACTGGTCAATGGAGGAGTACGCCCGCGTCGGCGCCGCAGCTGGTCTCGGCGTGCAACTGCCGGGCCAGAGCGGCGACGTGCGCGTCGGAGGCAGTGTCATGGGCGTCACCAGCACCGCGGAGCTCGAGCAGACTGTCGAGTCGTGGAAGCTTGTGCTGCAGGGTCTTGCTGCTGGCAGCGAGGCTTCGGCGCGGTACGAGAAGCTCAAGGCTCTCGTGGAGCAGAAGATGTGGCCCGAGTTGGGCGTCTGGAAGGGTTACAGCTGGGCGAGTCCCGATGACGGCTTCCAGAACGAGAGGAGCGCGGACAAGTTTGGCTTGATTCCGGAGGAGGATGAACTGATGACCAACTTCATGACTAGAATTTCCAGCAATTTGTGAGCGATTAGCGTTACTTGCATGTCTTGATACCTGATAAAAAATAGACGTCTACCTCAAGAAGCAATGACCCTCAATAATCACAGCAGAGATGCTCCGAAGATGTGGTCGTCAAAACCAGATGCAAGATCGGAGACTTTGTAAACAGCCACACTTCCGGCGACAGAACCTTCCAAGGTCGCCCGTCAGTCTGCTGTTCAACTCCTCGTTCCTGAGCCAGTAAAATCTCGTTTTTCTTGAATATTGCACAAAACTTGCAGCGCTCCATGCATGTCGCTGATCAGAGACATTTACTCAGCCGATGCGGCATAAGTACCTACTTACCTAACACAGCCTGCGTCGGGCACAATTCCAAGCCGACCTTCGACTTGCTCTTGGCAGCGCGGACTGCCATTTAATAACGCATGATATTCCTAGCCTGATCTCGATATTGCCGCTCTCATCTCTACTACGTTCTTTCTTTGCTTCCAATTAATTCAAGCCCCGTCACGGTGTATTAAGGCATGGCAGAAATACTTGGCCTCACGGCGAGCATCATTGCCACGATCCAGATCACGGAGTCAGTTATAAAGATCTGTAAGGGTCTCATCAAGGACATCCGGGATGCACCATCTGACTTCCGCGCGATCCTCATCGAGACGACGTCAGTCGCAGCTGTCTTACAGACTCTCGAGTTTGTCATCGATGTGGAGGAGCCAGACTCGAATCTGCGGAAAGCTCTAGAGGGCAGTTCGACGAGTGGAAAAGGCTCAGGGCCTATCCAAGAATGTCACTGCATTATCGTTCAGTTGGCCAAGTTACTACCCGCCGGTCACAATCCGGAGGAATCCCAGGATTCGAAAGGCAAGAGGTTTCAAGCGGTAAAAAGAAGTTTAGCATGGCCTTTAGACGCAAGCAAGGCCAAAAAGCTACTTCAAGACCTTGGGCGATGCAAGGATACCGTCAGCTTTGCCCTAACCGCGACGTCCATGTACGTTACCATCAAGTCTTACCAAAAACTTCGAGTTTTCAATGTTCGGTAGACTGTTTAACTTTTGCAAAAGTTCTAATCCATAGTATCTACGTATAGTAACGACGTCAAACGCATCCAGCAAGTTCTTACAGGTCGGTTTCGCTTAAGACTGGAAGATGCGCTATCACTGATACATATTAAACTGATCCTTCTCAAACTAGAAAACCAACGAAACGAGGTTCATAAGTGGCTCAAGCATACTGATCCTTCAAATATCCACCGCGACGCTTGCAAGAACCATGAACCTGGGACGTGCGAATGGATACTACGTGTCCCTGAATGGGCCCAATATGAACAAGGGGACATCCGATGCCTTTGGATTCATGGAATGCCCGGCGCCGGCAAAACCATCTTGGCTTCTCAACTCGCTAATAAGATTGAGAAGAGTTGCGCTCAGTCCAATCTCAATGGGACCGTATCGATCGGAATCAACTATTACTGCCACTTTGGACGGAATCAGGACGAATCTGCTCCATTTCTACAATGGGTCCTCGATCGCATGTGTAAGAAGGTCAAGCAGGTCCCTGATATTCTTTGGGACATGTTCGAGGATGGTGGGGAACCTGATCCCAGCGACCTATTGAACGCTGTTGAAGCTGTTTCCCACTACTTTAGCAGCGTATTCATCATGATAGATGCCGTCGACGAAAGTAGTCCCCGAGACGAACTTCTCAGTGTATTACGAGATCTGGCTACCGACCACAGGTTCGCGAAGATTCGACTTCTTGTAGCTAGTCGTGAATACCTGGATATTGAAAGGGTCATGCGCGAAATCTCAACGGAAGTGTCCATGCGAAATGCCGAGCTCGATGCTGACATACGACTTTACACAAAAAATCGCTTGACTGTCAACAAGAGCTTGAGGACCTGGCCAGAAGACCTACGTGCTGAGGCTTTGGAGGCCTTGACAATCGGCGCAAAGGGAATGTTAGTACCGCACACATTTAGAGCTTTTCGAAATTCTCGGACTACTAAAATATGCAACCCAGGTTTCGGTGGGTTGATTGTCAACTCGACGCATTACGGCGAATCAAAGAAGACAAAACAGCTGTCAGGAAGGAGTTGAAGAACCTGCCCAAGGATATCAACAAAGCCTATAACAGGATTTTCGAAATGATGCCCGAGGAAGATAGGCAGGTTGTAGCCTCGTTCCTCGATTGGATTTGTTTCAACTACAAGGTCTTCAAACAAGAAGCCATCGGTTGCGGCGTGCTGCTCGAAGCTACCGAAAATTACCTTGATCGACAAGATTCCTTCACACGAGATTATCGCTTTGATGTCGAACTTCTCCAAGAAATGTGCGGTTGTCTCATCACTGTCAGGACAATGGAAAGCAACGACTGCCCTCCAGGAGGAGAAGTCGAAATCAAGTTGCCTCATTACACTGTCATGGAGTATTTAGCTGTATCAAATCGCTTTGGTCCAGACTATTGCTTTCGTCTCGATAAAGACGCAACTCTCGGGCTACGAGCGGGCATTCTCCTCTTAGAGGGATTCCGATCCCCGGTCGAAGAAATCAGTATTATGCGCCCAAAGTACCATGAACAGGCTCCGGGCCAATCATGGAGGCTCGAATTTCAGACCTACTGCGCTATTTCAGCCATCAAGTTGATATCTGCTAACGAGGAGGCTATCCTAAAACACGAGGAACTTGCTACTTTGCTGACAACTCCACATCAATCAAGACTTCATCCTGTGGATGTGGCTCGCCGACTGGATAGAAAGTACTACGATTTGGCTGAATATCTCATCGAAAAATACGACGTTGACATGACCTTTTGGCTGGTCCAACCCTCCATATCATCGCCGCAGGAGGTTCGCATTCTTCTTGATCTCCTGCACATGGGTGCATTCAACTTGGTCGACTTTATGCTGAGCAGAGTTCACGATGCAAAGACCTTATTCCAGACTATGATTGAGATAGACTACGTCTTTCCGGATCAAGAGCGGGGACCACGCCATTTTCATGTTTCTCTCATCAGCTTCATCGCCACCATCAGCGCGAGAGACCCTTCGCCACTGAGACATCTTCTGAAGACCTGGTCTCAAACTTTCGACTGCCGCATCGCTCTCTTGAACTACGTCATGTGGCATCATCATGAAAAAAAGAATGGAGGCAAGAATGCTCCTTGTAGTGACTGGTGCACACTACAAGAGCTGTTAAGTCTTGGGGCGGAACCAGATTCATTGGAATTCATAATCACGCCGTTGCAAATTGCTGTTGCTTGTTTGGATCTGGAAGGTGTGAAAGTTCTATTAAAGTGTGGGGCCCAGCCGAATGCTGCAGGAAATCCAGGTGTGATGGACCGGCCAGAGCATTTCGTATTGCGTCAGTTCGATTTTCTGAGTGGCATGACTCCGCTAAAGATCTGCGATTCTGGGTTCCAGGATGCTTGTCTACGAAAGGCATGGTTTGAATATGGATTTGACGACGGGATCATGAACACTCGTCTGGGACAAGGTAGTTCAGGTCAAATTAGGGCCGTACTCTGCGAATACGGGGCTACATAGACCGTTCACACGGTATACCCCGCGATGTGTACAGATTGGATGAAGCCGTGAAGTCGAAGATCATTCGTACTGGTGACTGTATATAGCATCTCAACACTCTGTGGCAGTGCTCTAGATGGTATTAGGCTTAAGGAGTTCACGTCAAGGCGGTCGCTTGCGGATTGCATCTTATACAGATACTACAAAATACCTCAGTAAATATGTCCGCGAGAAGGTTCTCATTGTAACGCTTGTTCCTTTAATCTCAGTCGGGTTTCCTTTCTGCAACACATATCAAGGCCTATTATGTTGCTTTCCGCTGTAAGCCGTCTGGTGACACCTAATATACTCCCGGTAAAATCTTCCATCTGACAATCTTCTTATACTTCTCCCACTCCTCGCCATACTTCTCCGAGCAAGCAACATCGTCCCGCCCTTCCCGATGAATAAGCAGGATGGCAAAGTACAGCACGTAGAAGTACGTAAAGATCATGCCCCAGCCACGAGCAGCGCCTTGAACGACCTCACGTCCGTCCAGCATCGTAATAGCACCAGACATGGCACTGCCAGCAGTGAGGACCTGGTACCCAGAAACAGCAGTCGGCAAGCTGAACGGCGAAGCCTGAAGCCAGTCGCCAAAGTAGTTGATATGCCGAGACCTGCCCCACCATCCACCGGTAAGCAGCCTAGTGCCGCGCTTCGTCTGGATGAAGGGTAAATCCTTGACGCTCGGGTGGTCAGGCTGCGTGCGGAAGACCTTCTTCTGGTTATTTGCGGACCGGAAGATGTACAGGCCTGTCGCGAAGACGGCAAAGATGCTGGCAACCCCGGCCCAGCCCAGGTGGACGGGGTAGACGGAGAGGTAGCGTGTCTGGGTGGAGTACAGGAAGGGCACCCAGACGATGTCGCCGAACGTCAGCATGAAGCCCAGGCCGTCGGTGGTGATGTCCATCATAGTGAGTAGGCCGGCTTCCATGAATTGACCCTCGAGGACGTAGTAGCCCTGCACGGCGGTGGTGAGAAGGATACTGTCGGAAAGGTAGCCGTAGGTGCGGTATTGCTTTGCGCAGAAGGCAAGGTTGAGGATGACCCAGCCGGTCAGGCCGGGGCGCATCTCCAGCCAGGCTTTGAGGTCGATCTCACCGAAGAAGGGGAGGGTGATGCGGGGGTTCAGTTCGCGGCCGATGTAGATATCGTAGATGAGGCTGCCGGTGTTACCTCCAACGGCCAGCTCACGCAGCTCTGGGTTGCCGGGTTTCACGCTGAAGCTGGCGACGTAGACGTAGATGGTGATGATGTAGGCGAGAATGGTGTTGGCGGTCAGAAGCTGGAGGTAGTTGTCTGAGATGTAGGTCCAGACGACGAAGTCGGCGCCTTGGATATAGGTGCCGATGGCCAGGCCGGCGAGCTGGAAGACTGTGGCGTTGAAAGCTGCTCCTGCGTCAGATGAAATATTGAGTATTTGAATTGAGAGAACTCACAGTTGAAGCGATACTTCAATGGGCGACCGGACTGAACCAACTTGGTGCCGAGCATCTCCTGCGCAGGAAGAACACGGTAGAGAACCAAGCTCACAAAGTAGTAGGCCATGCTCCAGCCGAAAGCTTCCCAGCTACAGAAGCCCCAGATTCCGTCGGCGGGCCATGGCGTCTCGAGCTTGAGCTTCTCCAAGGTCAAAGTGCGAGGGCTCAATGTGGACGGGGCAGGGCAACCGGTCTTGTCATTGCAGACAAAGAAGAAGGTCCATAAGAGGGCGGGGAGTCCAAAGACGATGGCAAAGGCGCCGGGACTGAGTGAACATCAAAGAGTCAGCGATTGAGTGTGAAAAGTAGCTCTGGAACGCGGAACTTACGGGCCTCCGAACTCATAGTTGTGCTTCTTAGGAGCCATGGTTGTCTCGAGTGTCACTGACTCAGCACGATGAATCTTATCAGTGTCTCCCCGTATTTGAGAGATAATTATCTCAGCTGGCTTCAGAGTAAAGAGTGAAACGCCGGCTTCCACTTGACGTGACGCGGTGGCATGAGGAGAGCAAACACAACACGCGTATTGGGGATACCCCTTTCTGTTGGGGCAGCACAGCACCAATCAGCAGAAATTTGCGGCGTGGGTCGTGCTTCCAGTTGTAATTTCCAGTTACCGAGGCGCTAATCCGCGGTGGGCGACGCCGAGCCCTCCTTTCCTCCCGTGCCGGTCGGCCCCACTTCACCGGTGCCCGTGTTTTCCGTGATGCCCTTATTCTCGGACACGGGAGAGACACATCATTCGTTGGATGCAAAGGATCTCAATGACCAGTTCAAATTTTTCACAAAGGCCGAACTCAGGGCTCAGTAGACATTATCTTCATTACTCATAAGCTAACTCAACCAAATGTTGGCCACATTTACATCAGCCGCGGCTGCAATGCTGCTGCATCTAATAGCCGGTTCCTCCACCATTGGCTCTACAGCACTTAGTAGATCTTCTTCTCATCATTGTGAGAGCACGTCTTGCCGTGGCTGGTGTGCTCAGCCAGAGCCTTCCAGCGACGCATCTGCTGGAGAACACCAGCGCGGCCGCGGAGGATGGGGGTAGTGTTAGCGCGAGGGGGGACACCCTCAAGCGAGTTGGCAAGGGTAGCAAGAGCGCGGCCAGCAGCCTTGGTGTTGACAGTAATGGCATCCCAGTTGATGTTGTCAATCGTGTCGCAGGCCTGGTGGTAGCAAGGGTCGTTCTCGCCCTCACCAGTGAAGATGGACGCGACCGGGATGCCGAGCTCGACGAAGCCGGCGTAGTCAGAGCGTCCGTCAAACTCGGCGTAGATGGTCTCCTTGCCATTGGCCTCGAGGTAGTCGGCGATAAGCTGGGGACCGATACCGCTATTATTGTAGGAGGCCAGCTCGTAGATGGGGTTGGGGGATCCGATCATGTCGTAGTTGAAGTAGTACTTGATCTTGTCGGCGTCCTCGGAGCTGAGGTGCTCGG